CTAGTATAATGTAATACAGGAATATTCTAAATAAATTGGATATTTGGTAGGTTTGAGAAGTTTCGGTTAAGTCATATGCTGGAAGAATGCCTTTAACTTTTTACAATAATTTTATCAGTCGATTGCAAAAACGTCTATTAAATCTTATGAGCCTGGTAAACTTTGACTGATGTTGAGATTACAGTCTAACATCTGTCAAATTTTAATAAACATTCCTGCAACCGGCTGTGAATCTCCAGATGGTACTTTTTTTTCGTATAAATGTAATGCCAGTCAAATATTTATATTCAATTGGTAAATCCAATTGCATACAATTTTTAATTACTTATTTTATAGTAGGTATGAGCATACAAGTAAAATTTTTAAATATATACAACGTTAATGGTTAAGCATACCACGGTGTAAATTTAAAATGTCTGTCTATTTTTGGACTTGTACGGTTTTAGAACTCACCGATTAAGTGACTTTTTGCATCTTATCATACCTTGTATATTGTAGGTTTTTCCAACAAATTACAGACAACAGATAATCCATGATCGATCCGAAGTTCACCTGTTATCTAAATAAGACCACCTTTCACTATCTCATCCAATAGGAATGTTTTACAGATGGTTAGTGGATGCTCTCTTAAAGAGCATTCAACATAAGTGCAAGGAATGTAAACATGCGAGGCTTGGTTGCGAGGGTATGTTCACAGGCACTATGGTGGAACATGGTACTTGAAACCCTCATCAGCCGCCTCAATAATGACATACATAATAGAATACGCAGATAACTTGGTCATTTTGCAAGCAGGCAGTTTTGAGAACATACTCTGGCAAGTTGGACTATCTGTCAATCTCAAGAAGATAGAAATAGTCCTTTTCACAAGAAAAAGGAAGCCCGTGAAAAATAAACCTCCACAGCTTCTAAACAAAAACCTTTTTGCAACAGATGTGAAGTACCTGGGTTTCACTTTTGACGAAAAGTTAATATAGAACTCATACCTAGAAAACAGTGTCAAAAAAAGCATATGATATTGCTTGTGAAGAATGACGTCAAATAGACCCTCACGTGACTGCAAAAAGTGGTGTCGTGTTTTTGCTTGCTATTTGTAGTTAGATACATGGGAGGGAGTGAACAACATGTACCTACTGTCAAATACCTAATAATGTTTCACATCCTCTCCTGTACCTAACTCCAAATAGCAAGAAAAAAATACGACATTTTTGTAGTCAGATGAAAGACTAAAATAGTGGAGCGCCCTGGAATTTTTTCCCCAGAGTCGCCACGTTGACTTACACGGTCACCATAAGATGTATGATAACAACATATAGTGCAATTATCTGAGCACCCAGAACTATCCGCAAACTAGAACAACTATAAATAGAACCATACGAACCAGAGCTATGGAAGTTGTTCTTAGTCTTACCATCCTTGATATTTACATCAGGAGGCTGCTTTTATGACAATGACACGATTGCAAAGTTGGTAAGGCGAAATGACGCTTTTGGCGAGAGGCTTTTGACGAGAGGCTTTTGACACGCTTCCACTGCTTCAAGATAACATGGACTCTATTTTACCGCAATATGTCTTTCATAAACTCCACAAAGTTGTAACGAAAAATATAGAAGATCCAGGCAGAAGGTACCATCCTATCTACATTGACGGTTCAAAGACAGAGCTCAGGGTGTGGAATAAAAACAAAATACGGTGTTAATGATCCATTAGATAGAATACCAATTATTAATGACTTTATGAAATCTTTCGATATTCAATTACCAGAAAGGGCAAAAAGCCGAGAAAATAGAGAAACACAAAAGGAAAAAATCTGGTATTTAACGGTTAAAGATGAAAAATAGTACAGTAACTGGGATCTGTGGTTTACCATGTGAACTTAGGAAGGATCATTAGTCTAAACCTGCGGTTACTGGTAACAGTCTTCTAGGCTGAAGTAACAGAAATAAATGCCTGTGCCCATATTATTCTAAATTACTCTCTAAGAGATAAGATAGCCTTTATTATAACAGCCCTTAAAGTACAAAAATGGGTACAAGTCAATCCAAATTAATACTGAACTGCCAACAGTCCCTCCAGGACCTGAGGCCCTGGCAGAGCATAACAAGTTACTCTTCAATGGGGACTGGGGCATAACAGAATGTTGGAAAATGAGAAAGCAAATCTTATAGCCAGGAAAAGATCTATAAAACATGTTAAATGGGTGCTAATAGAACAGGTAAATAGAGCACACCATAATTTTTGTTTCTGGACTTCCTGGAGTCAGGTATTCCAGAATACTAATAGATAATCGATCCAAGAGCAGACATAATCAACTGCTAAATAATAGCAGGAACAAATTAAAGACTGTAATAGGACTTAGAAGACACCTACATTTCTGAGGAATATTTGACCGCTTCCTATGTAAAATACGTGAAGAGAAGAAGGAAACTCCTATTCACATACTCTGCCTTTGCCGGAATCTTAAATTGGAAAGATAATGGCACCTCGAGGTACAATATCCGGAACCTCAAGAAATCGCAAAAGCGTGTATCAGACATATTCCTGAATTGATCAAGAATATTAACCTGATGGGGTAGAAACTAAAAGGGATACCATAGTACACGTGAGCTGTAAACCATACCCTAATTCAGATAGATAGATAGATTCCCTCTACGCCATTTCCATTTACTAAAAAATATTCTACAAAAACTTATTTCACAATAAATAATTCGTCAGATTTGAATTATTGAAGGAAAAAAAATTATTCTGCGAGCTGTACAGACTCAAATTATAGAAAAGTTTACAAGTAATTCTGACGGTTTGAGCATTAACATATTTGTTGTTGGTCTTACAATCAGGTATTAGGTCTGAAATTTGTTGGAGTGCTCAAAGTAAAACTATACATGAGTCTGACGATCATGTACGAATTTGAACTCCTCTAAGAATAAACCTAGTAGTACAGGATCCGAAGTAAGGGCGACCTTCACCCTTCTGTTTAACGGATGAAAGTTTTTTTTTTATTAAATAAAATATGTTTATAAATATACCGCAAATGGTTTTCCTAAGAAAATACGGTTACAGCCATTTTTTACTTTCCTTTTTGTATGAGGATAAGGAAAGTATAGAAATCATGATAACAGTTGCTTATGATGTTATTCTCTATAATTTTGGTCCTATACATGATTTCCCTAAAATGGACCGTATTCGAGATATTTCAGGAAAAGTGCAAATTTGGAAATACATCCTGCCATGAGCTGATTAAATTTTGGACATAGTCGAAGCATCTGAGGAATACTTTACATGATTTCGTTTTTTATACTTTAAATAGCTTTGACCGTATTTTCTCAAGCATCCCATTTGCGGTATATTTATAAACATATTTTACTTAATAAAAAAAAAAAAAAAATTTTTAATTTTAGGTTATAATGCCTGGTTGTGAACTTAGACTAGAAAATAAAAGGGATGTGTGACACAGACCGTTTGTCGCCAGAAGCTAAACGCAGACATACAATATATCTTTCTTTGTCTAAGCTTTAGATTATGAAATAACTAGAAATTAATTAAATAAACAATGTCTTAATTTTAATTACTCAAAAAATATTTATTTCTGGATACTTCAGAGAAAATATGCAACATATATATAATTAGTAATGTAAATACGAAAATAAACTCTGTGAAATTAAACAAACCCCCATTTTATAATAAATATTACTAAATATATTTTTCAAAATTGCCCCTGCTAAGTACTCGCGTATCGGAGACAACACTAATGATTAGTAGTTCGCATGTTATACACGTTTTATTTATACATCGGTCTCCTTTTGTCAGAGTAAGTGAGCTGTGTCCAGGGCGTTGGTGTTTATGCCAGTCGGCGTAGCCAGGTATAGTTTGAAATTTTCTGGTGGCGGCTACGAGAAGCCGTTGCTTCGTCTTCTTGTCACGGCATTATTAATATTATTTGTTCATGTATGTGAAATTTATAAAATACTATTGCTAGTCACGGCGTAAATGAAAACAAACAAGACGCATTCACACAAACACCTCCCACCACAGCAATTACAAATCATTAGGGTTGTCCCCGATACGCGAGTCTGCTAAGTATAGAAAATTATTTTTAAACTTCCAATCACAAATATATTAAAAAATTCTGTCGCGGAAAGGATTTAAACTATCTAGGACATTACACTATAGGTTAGAGAAAAAAGAAGTGCAGTAATTTAATTTTCAGAACGCAGAACATGTTCAAGAGGTAGACATTTTATTTATACCTCATCCATTAATGCTTATTTGTAGTTAAAAATATATCTAGTTTTACAGTCATGTTATTGACTTTTCTAGCATATTTATATTGTATGCAAAATATAGTATGCAATGGAAGCGTGAGCCTATAAGAGTGACTACTTTTTACGGCGTTGGAGGGACATGATTGTAACTGTGGGTGAAGTGTTACTATGGGAACAAAAACATAAAATATTAAAAATTAAACAGTCATAATATAGTTGATTCGCAACCACGCACTTAAACATAAAATAAATAGCAAAACATCCGAAGAATTATACAACGTACAAGGTATGTTATATAACAATTAAGGATATACCAAGTGTAATTATTATAAGTATTTAACAGAAAAGCTAAGGCTAATGAAACATATAGATAACATCAAACTTTCTATAAAGCAATCAAAAATGTAATTCTCAGAAGGGTGGAGTGTACAGGTTGCAATACAACGATTGAATTTCCAGCTGTATAGACAGGATAAATGAGGATTTTGGAAAACCTGGTAAATCTACTTCTTGAAACCACATCGAATTTAGCAAATACTAGTGTTATCACTACTAAAACAAAAATAATTAAAAAAACACTACTAGATTTTCACAAATATGCTCTTAAGCAGTTTTAAATATCTGAAATAGAGTTAAAGGCATTCTCATTAAAAAAAACTCTATATTCGTTCTATCTACTGAATGGAAGCGGTCGATAATTGTTTGCAGATGGTCCCATAAATGTTCTTTTATTTCCAGGGTCAAATGAGAGGATATCCACCGCCCTCCAATGCCATGCTCTTCGACGACGATCCCGGTATCATGTCAGAAGTAGAGACGAGCTCAACGGGTTTTCGAAGAGGTGGTAAACAAAGAAGTTCACTTCCTGTTGTTAGAACTCCAAGTAAGACTTTGGAGCGACCACTAGGTAAGTAGGCACAAATAAGTTACTTCTTAACTAAAAACATAGTAAATTAACACGAAGAAATAGGGAATGACCCCTGTATATACAAGATGTTAGGAATGATATAAATAATAAGGTATAGGATCTAGATCTAGAAAACCCATTCCAATAGGAATATTATTTTATTAATTATATTTAATATACGTTAATTAGTAAAAAACTGAAATAATTATTGAAAAAAATATTTTTCCAATTTGGACAAATACATTGATATTGTTTGTAATCAGTAGTGTCAAAATTATCCATTTTTTGTAACGATTTACATAAAGTGGTGTGAGTGGTTACGATAAGTTCGTTGTTTCCATTTGCGAGAAGAAAACAAATAAAAATACACCATGTTCTTAAAATCAAGCACCATCTAGTTGCTCCCTACAAATTTAAAATATCTCCTGTGTGTAATAGGTACGTAAGCTATTAAAAACATTGCATTTCTCCAAGAAGTTCTAAGAAGTTTTTGCCTCTACTCAAAATTTAGTGATTTTTACGACGATGTGCCGTAAAACGTGTTTACTTTGGCAAGTTTTGACCTATTTTGGAACTCTACGTCAGAAACCGATTGTAAAATCAAACTTCTTAAAATTGCATCGTGCCTTGTGCCCAATTGACAATAGATCACCCAAATATGGTTCGTTTTCATGAACCGCATGTTAAAAAAAAATTGTTTGTGGGGAGCCAAAGTAGGCAGATTTTTGGGGCTACTTTGGCAGCACATGAAAATCCTTTATGCGCCAATGTAGAGGCTATATAAAGCCTTATTTGGCACCAAATATGGTAGAGGACGGAGGCACAAAACGGCAGCTTTGAGTTTCGAAGTTAGAATGCATTTATTTTTAAGAAATTTATTTATCGAACCATTATAAAAGAACTAACTAAAAATTAATTTCTGAACAAAAATAACCATCATTTCATAAGTAGTTTAATAAAGAACATAAAAAACTAAATATTCAATACATCATAAAGTCTTTTACAAAGAAAACTCCGCATCTTTTAAAGAGTCATCCTGTCAAAATCTTTGTTTGTACAGAGGGCACAATCCAATCAGGCCCTGTATACTTCTCCCACTTTCTGAAGCAAGCTGCTCTGACGTCGTCTGTACTTTTAACAGCCCTTTTTGCATGCTTACTCATTGCTTTTCTTGTAGAAATTGCAACTAAATTTGTAAGTGGTTTGTCGTCACTATCATCATCTCTTATGTTTGAAATACTATTTTAAGTTGTTTACCGGGTTCTATTTTCTTGCCACGCGATCGAGCGACCTTTTCCTTACACAGATCTTGAAGCAGATCAATTAAGCTGTCATTTAGGATAGCAGCTTGGACATTTTCGTCATCGCCTTGTAATTGTCTAGAATTCTTTTCCGAACTTCTTAAGGATTGAAAGGACAAATTCCTGTGGCTCTAAATCGAGATTTTAAATTATTAGACATATTTTCAGTGACTGCAACCCACAATCGCTTTAGGAGGATAGGAAAATATTCTTTTGTCGTTAGGTGTGTTACTATAGACTGTCCCAGGAGGAACACATTTTGTCCAACCTTGCCTTGTACACCACCATATGGGGTAATAAATCTCCTGCAGCGTTTCCACACACCAATATACTGATCGAGACCTTCAGCTGAATTAGACCTTGAAATGATGTTGAACTCTCTCCACGCGTTTGGTTCCCTTTGGAACAATGACTTTTTTGGCTCCAGGGACATCTTGAACATTAGTTTCATCGTAATTGAAAACCAAAGAGGGGTCAATAAGTTGCAAAACATCTTTAATGTCATCAAAAAATTCCTTAACGTTATGCCCTTTCTAAGTATTTGTGGATTAATTCGCGAATATCGGCTTTGTTAAAAGCAAATCTCCAATTGCTGCTCACTATCACTAATGTATTTGTCAGTAATTGCTCTTTCGCAGGTGTAAATACCTCGTTGAAGGGTCCCCGAGAAATTTTGTACCGCTTACTGGCCGCTGCCTGACTCATGCCATTTCTAATGGTAGCCAACGCTTTTTCAAAGTCAGATTCGGTAAAGTTTCTGTAGGCACGCCCCCCTACTTCTTTATGATAGTTTCTAGACATGGTTGGTCTGTAACAAACGAGTACAACTGAAAAAACCGCAAAAAAAAATTTATATATGTATATGACCATAACCCCGTATAACTTTTGAAAGTGTACATTAGAGGAAGAAAGTTTCGATTTATAAAAAAAACATTTTATAAATGAACCTACAATGTGTAATAATTTTGGTTCGGTGCATAATTATCTGGTAGTCGGAGAACGTCTTTTTTAAGCATACTTAAAGTATTTGTTTCCAAACGCTTTGCTTCCGATAACCACCTACATCAATAGTAAAAAATTTATAATTGGCGTCAGCTATAATTATATTAAATTGATTCTAAATGTTTAGGACGTTTTATTTAAATAAGCTTTGTGTACTATAATCACACCATTCTGACGAAACGTTGTTTAGACTTATTCGTCAGAACTCAAATCCATTATAACCGTATCCTCGTTCATTTTGCAGGATTCGCTAATAATAAATTGCTACTGTAAACAGAAATATTAGCAACATCAAAGTGTCATACCCAGATATTTTGCTGTATTGGCAAAAGAAATCTGAGTGTCGTTTATTGTTGAAGTTGATATGGACAGATTTGCCTTCATTCAATTATATTCGTCATCTTTTCGTCCAGGTGTTAATTGGTCTATTGATTTTTGCAATTTTGTATTAGCGTCTTCGTGATTTATCCAACAGCAAGGGATGTGCAGTATCATCAGCAAATGCTGCGATAGTATTGGGCTCAAGATTAGGAATATCTCTGGTATACAACAAGTAGACTACTGGACCTAGTACACTGCCTTGAGGTACTCCTGTCTTAATTTCTCTTAGGTCGGAATAGGCTTCTTTTTCTATAATTATGAAATATCCTTCTGATAAATAGGAGTTTAATAGTTTTGATTATTGATTAAAGTGACAGGAAGATGTTCAGTTTTTGAATCAAGCCTTCATGTCATACTTTGTCGAAAGCCTGAGCTACATCCAAAAAGACGGTGGAGTAAAGCTTTACTTGTTGTTAATTTTTATTTTACTATTTCCGAAAGCTTTTAAAATTGTATAACTGTAGTATAATGAATTAAATATTTAAAGTGTCAAAAGATGTTGTTTAAATTAAACATTAGTTTTTTATAAAATGTTTCTTGAGATCTTCGGATTTTTTAGCATTGTGGCAACGTCTACTTTTATGAGTTTATCACGTGCATTAAAAGTTTAATTTTACTTTAAATTATAGAGCACTTTAAAATTTTGTATAATAAAAAATTAACTAAGAAAATTTTAAAAAGAAAGCAAAATAAGTCAATGACAGAGTAGGAAAAGGAAAACAAAATCAGTTTTTATGTGACTATTTGCATCATACTTTGATACAAACTTCGCATATTAAAAAGAAATGCGAAGAGCTTGATTTAAAATACAAAAGCATGTATTGGTTGCTGGGAATAAATTCCAAATTATCCACATACAACAAACTGCTTCTTAACAGGCAGATATTGAATTCCTTATGGACGTATGGTATCCAGCTTTGGGGTTGTGCCAGTAAAAGTAACATCTAAGTTATTCAACGTTTGTAGAATAAAGTATTAAGGAACATCGTCGATGCACCCTGGTAATGCCGCAATAATGATCTTTATAGGGACCTTAAAGTAGAGACTGTTGAAAATACAATAGAAAAATTTGCCAGTAGTCACAAACAACGACATGGGAACGTTGAGGTTATCCAGTTTATCAACAAGGCCAGTCTAATAAGAATACTCAACATAACGTCGTCTTTTGAGTTAGTTCAGTGACGTTGGATAAAAGCAGAGTTTAACGCTAGTGTACCTAACTAAATAATTAGACTCTAAGGTACACTAGTGAGTAGAATCTTAGTTCATAAAGTTTTTCATCCCTAAATAAGTTAAGTAATACTAAAATTGTTAATTGAACCTAATGATCAGATTGTAATAATCGTAAATCCTCTTCCTAGGGCTTTTATTATTTTAAAAATCAGATACTTATTCTATCAGAAGACAATGATTTTAAGACAAAATGACTACTAAGACTACCTAATGTCAAATATTTAAAATTGTGGACATGGTATGACAAAACTGTAGTGTGTCTTGGTTACTTAAGGCTAGCGCTTCATTAGGTAGAAGTTTAGCCGCCGTAAATGAGCTACATCTTTTTACAAAATATATTCAAATGCCAGGCGTTTCAACGGATTTTCTGATCAATGTTGTAAATTAACGAATTGCTCGTAAGAAATTATATGAAAATAAAATATGCAGTAGAAAATCAACTTCTGCCTAATATAGTGCCGGCATTAAACCAAATCAGGTGATCGAAATCAGCGCTCAAAATTTAATTTTTATCTCGAATCGTATTTAAATATGATGTGCCTCAGTACTTCTTCTTTAAATTCGTTTGTCCTAGAGATGGAATTGTTTATAGTTGATTTTTGGTTGCTTTATTATTTTTTTTTTTTTCAATATATTTATTTTATTTCAGGTTTAGTTTTCCTTCAATATCGAAATGAAACGAAGCGAGCATTATTGCCAAACGAAATTACCTCAATAGATACTGTCAAAGCTCTGTTTGTACGATCTTTTCCAAAACAACTCACGATGGAGTATCTGGATTCGCCGAATGTCAAAATTTACATCCACGATTCTTCAAAAGATATGTTCTACGAATTAGAAGATCTTAGGTGAGCTTTTTTTCTAATTTATTTCTCAACAAGATCAAATCACAAAATCGGTACCACAAAAATGATTTGATCAAAATAAAATGAACGTGTGTAACTAGTTTCGACCTCCTAGGGTCATCAGCTGGCATGAAAAGAAAAATATAAATTATGACACATGTCGTAAAAATACTTACAAATTAAAATAGGTAAAAAGAAGAACGAAACGCAGAAAAAACATGAAGATTAGGAAATAGTATATTATATTACGAGTGTGGAAAGTGAAATTTTTCACAACAGAGGGAGATATTGTCGCATGAGGTATAAGCCAAGTGCGACAAGCAGATGAGTTTGAAAAATAACTTTTACACAAGTGATGTACAATATTTTTTCTACGACAACAAAATAATTTTATCAAAAAAAAAACAGTAAATCTGGCTATAGAGGTTCAATGCAATATTGAGTAATATTTAAAGAGTTTCACCTATTACGTTTTGTCGAAATTAAAAACGTGATTTCATTTACAAATACTCTCATATGAGAATAAGGGTATAAAAAAATATTAGAATATATTTTCCATAAATTCGTTTTTTTATATAGGTAAGCTATAACAAATAACAAGATGAACAACCGTGAACAAGAATTAGGTATTATTAAAAATGATTACCTACCTTACTACTTTCAATTTTTTACTGAATCAAAATAGTATAAAATAAATATCGAAAAGATTAACTGTAGATGTTACATTGAGAAAAATAAAATGTATTTATTTAAAATATATAAATAATAATAGTCGTATTTTTTCAATTTTCATGTTTCAAAAATAAAAAATAAATAAAAATTATTCAATCGGTGGGATTTAACTAAAGTAATTAGATAACATGCATCAAGTATATAATCGTTTAGTTTTTTCAATTATATACCTTTAAACTAATTTTTATGACCTGTAAATAATTAAGAAAAAAGCTAAAAACAGTAAAAACGTATATGTCAAATTTAATGATGTTTTTATTAAAAGTTTGGTCAGAAGTTCACTGTCATTGGAACCACTATTGTGTCGCACTTATTTATTTATTTATTTAACACACCACCCAACAGTGATAACCATTTAACGGATGGAAAAAACAATATTAAGAGAAATGTTGATTATAAAGACTGTAAATATATAGTATTATTTGCAATCCAGGTGTCAATGTCCATGAAAAAATCCTGTGGCTGTATACAAAACAGGAAAAAATGGATATTAACATTGGATAGCTATTACAGGATAAAGTACTATATCGAGGGGTTCGAACGAAAACCCTATAATTGACAAAATCATTGTTTCGACATAATGGCAATTAAAGGTTTTAGTAACTTTAAAAAAGATTTAAATTTGTTATAGTATGGATTATCAAACGTTTATTAGAGCCAAACTAGGTAGATAATTAAATAATTTGTTACAGCGATGTATTTTTAATTTAATTTATAAAAACGACATATTTTTGACATTTATCGGGTTTTCGTTCGAACCCCTCGATATGTTTAATTGACAATAATACCAATAACTAAATTAAGATTACACAATGAACTAGAATTCAGTAATACACATAAATAAAAATTATAACACTAACCCAAAGTAACACGTTTAATTTGAAATATGTTGCAAGCAAAACTATCCAAGCTGTCTTGGATGGTAAGATACTCATTAATTGCTTGATACAGCGGGGATGAATTTAAAATGTTGGTTCTTGCTGCTAGAAAATAAAAGCTAAAATACACCCTAAGCCTTGCTTGTGGTATTTTCAACTGAACATAATTTACCAAATCAACCGTTAAGAACTTTCCAAAGTAGTATTATTTGCTGAAAAGTTCGACGTTTTGCCAGTACTGAGAGTTTAAATTGTGTTAATAGCAGATCATGAGGAAAGCCTTTTGGGGATATACGAGGATGTATCAGAAAATAACGAGACTGGTGCTATAGTATAACAACGAAACATTTATTTAAAAAAATTCAACAACTATCTTACGAAGTACTCTCCATTCTGTTGAATACACTTATTCCATCGCTTTATCCACTTATCATAAACTTCTGAGAAACCATTTTTTGATAGTCTGTTTAGTATACCCATTACAGCGTTGTTGAGCTCTAAATCCGACTCAAATCTTCTACCTCTCAATTCTTTTTTCACTTCAGGAAACAAATGGAAATCACATGGAGCAAGGTCAGGAGAGTAGGGGGGATGAACCATAATTTCAACCTCTAATTCTTCAATTGTTCGTTGACGGAGCATTGTCGTGATGCAGCGTTCAGCCAAAGTCCTGATAAAGCGGCCTTTTTTTCTTTAATTTTGCCTTTAAGGGTCCTCGAATTACATTAGAATAGTACTCCCCTGTTACTGTATGTCCTCTAGGTACAATGTGATCGTAAATAACGCCAAATTTATCAAAAAAAATCAGGTGCATCACTTTACCAGCGCTTTTAGCAGTTTTGGCATTCTGCGGTCTTGGGCTGCCTTTATGCTTCCATTGCATACTTTGAGACTTCAATTCAGGATCGTAATGATAAAACCAACTTTCGTCACATGTAACCACATTATTTAAAAACTGTGGGTTACGTTGCAATTGCCTTTTCCACTGCTGACAAATTGTCACTCGATTCGCTTTTTGTTCATCGGTCATCACTTTTGGAATCCATCTTGCCGCGATCTTCCGGTACTCTAAATCTTCATGAATAATTTTTTGAGTTGTACCGTAAGACAAATTAACATTGTCAGAAATTCGTTTTATGCCAATCCGGCGATCATTTTGTATCAAGTCATTAATTTCTGCAATTTTTGTGTCATTTCTCGCAGTTTGTGGTCGACCGGGACGAGGTTCATCTTCAACTGATTCACAACCGTCTTTAAACTTTTTATGCCACTCAAACACTCTACATCGTGATAAACTATTATCTAGATATGCACCTTTAATCATTTCAAAAGTTTCAGTTGGTGTTTTACCCAATCGAACACAAAATTTTATCGCGTATCTTTGCTCCACTTTCATTTTTCGATGGGTACGCAAAACACTGAAAATTCAATAATTAATTTGTAACAAATGTCAAAAGTTAAATCAAAGCCTACTTGTGGGGTAGTACATTAAATATAAGGCTTTCATGTCTCATTTTTTGGGTCATAAAATGTTACCTCTGAAAGAAGTTATAGCACCAGTCTCGTTATATACTGATATATCCTCGTATATACCATCTAATATAAAAGAAGCCGATTTCATAAATTTTCTTTGAACTTTTTCGATTAGGTCAATATATACATTTTGTTTGGGACTCCATATCTCAGATGAATATTCAAGTTTCCATCGAACCAAGCTGTTATATAAGATTTTTAATGTGGACGTATCTGAGAATTCTTTGCAAGTTTTTATGACAAACCCTAGTGTTTTATTGGCAGATAACACCACTGATTCAATGTGTTTAGTGAAGGTAAGTTCAGGATCAAAATATACCCCCAGATCTCTTACTAACTCAGGCATATTGAGAATAATGTCTAGCAATCTATAATTCAAAGTGAAAGCAGTTAATCGCCTGGTAAAGGACATAACCGAAAATTTTTCTGGATACAGTGGGATTAAACTGTCCTGACACCAATCCGCTATACCATACAGATACTTTGTAAAAATTTCCAGTCATTCTTTGAACGACCTACCAATAATTTTAGATCATCTGCATACATTAAGACCTTTATATCATTGATGTTTAGAACAATATCATTTAAAAATATATTGAATAAAAGAGGCCCCAAAATTGATTCCTGTGGTACTCCTGATAACTGCTGGAATTTAACCACGACACTGGACATACTGATATTTGTCTTGTTAGTAAGAAGTTAACAGCAGATGTAGCTCCGTGCTTAAACCTATGGAGGAAAGTTTTTTGAGTAAGATGGTATGGTTAATTCTGTCGAAAGCTTTAGAAGAGTTAGTGTATATTACATCTACTTGACTCTTTCTATCTAGGGCCTCTGGTATAAACTGTGTGGAATAAATAAGATTTGTTACCGTGAATCTGCCTCTCATAAATCCGTGTTGATCTGAGGATATAGATCGGGAGAACTAATTCTAATATCTTAGCAAAGTTACATATAATACTAATAGGTCTATAATTTTGAACATGATTTTTATTGCCTTTTTATGAACTGGAGTTACACGAGATAGCTTCTACTCACTAGGGATAGTGCAAGATTTTAAAATTTTATTAAAAATTGTATGTAGAGGAGTTGCAAAAATGTATGCACAATCTTTAATAATAAAGGCAGGTAGCAGGTCAGGCCCCATTGTCATATTTAATTTTAATTTTTTAATACCCTTGACAATTTCGTCTTCTGATATTGATTTTATGTATAGCGTCGGAAAATTTGAAGTCAATTCATTTGCGTAGTTAGTAGATGTTGACTGAGAAGAACTGTTAAAGAAATGATCTGCAAAAGCCTGGACGATTGCTTGTGGGTCTTCGATAAAGCAGTTTTTATACTCAACTGATGTTGGTATGGAGAAAGAAAAATTTTTAGATTTCATATAGCTCCAAAATTGTCTTGGATCGCTTTTTATATTTCTTTCAATATTTCGCAAATACAAAGTGCGAGCCAATGAGATTTCTCGTTTAATATTAGAGCGAAGGTTTTTAAATGTATTTAGTGCGTCTACCGACTGAATAATAATAATAATAATAATAATAATAATAATAATAATAATAATAATAATAATAATAATAATAATAATAATAATAATAATAATAATAATAATAATAATAATAATAATAATAATAATAATAATAATAATAATAATAATAATAATAATAATAATAATAATAATAATAATAATAATAATAATAATAATAATAATAATAATAATAATAATAATAATAATAATAATAATAATAATAATAATAATAATAATAATAATAATAATAATAATAATAATAATAATAATAATAATAATAATAATAATAATAATAATAATAATAATAATAATAATAATAATAATAATAA